ACGCGAGTGTTTGTACGGAGCTGTTGATGAGGTAGTGTTTGCGCTGGGCTATGATCCCCGTCACCTGGAACTTAATTCTAAGCAGTTGGTAGTGACTGATGCCTGACCTGCCCCGCCCGTCACCCGAGTATACATCCAAAGTAATGTTCTCGAATTATTTGTTTGGAATCTTGCCTCTTTTGTTTTGCACTGCCGAGCGGATTTGTGCCTTGTGCTCACGAGAGCACGCCTTCCCACAATGCAATGCACCAGCAATATTTTTCTAATTAAACTTTTTTTTATCAGTTTATTTAGTGGTCGTACTTTTTGATTCGTGGATTTTTTCTGGTGTCCGTCTGGTATTCAACAGCTACTATTGGGTAACTATTTGTATGCCAATTAAAAAAAAACTTCATCAGAAAAAAAGCATTTCCATTTAATTCTCATCAGGCCCCATGGTCTCCAAATCTTATCCACTCCATCTCCCTGACCTCTCGATTTATTTTCTTTTTTAAGACCACACCGTGTTTTTGATGGATGTGTTGGTTATCCGTTAGGTCAGCTCTATTGGCCTGAATAGGCACTCACTTACTTTGTCTTTACTTACCGAGTGTACTGTATATGTAAGTGTGTGTGTGTGTGTTCATGAATCATCCACCAGTCATCTCAGTTATCCAATAACTGTTGCTCGGGTCCAGTGACCTTGTTCCAGCGAGCCCTCAGCACTTGGCCTGAAAGTGGGTCCAACCTGGCACAAGTGGGATGGTGACATAACCAACACTTGGTGACGAATGGTGTGGGTGTTATTGTCGTTGTGTTTCTGCTTGTGCTGTGTGACAGCGTGTGGTGTGTGTTGTTTGTGGGGAGCGGTAGTGTAGCGGTTAACGCCCTGCGCTACAAACTCGGCAACCCGTGTTCAATTACCGCTCACAGCAAACACCAGTGACAATTATCTGAACCGGTACTGGGTCTATCCTAGGTCGACTCAGCCTCAAATGAGTACCTGGCGTGGTGCGTAAAAACATTGCCAATGGGGAGACAAAGGCGGACGGGCGTGGTGCTGGACACCCACCCCCTCGTGTGCCATGCCGGCCTTCATTGGTGCTCGCTAACAGCACTTGCCCCAATAATCTGTTAAGGCTACACGTGGAACCTGTGTTTTGTTTGTGTAGGCGTGCAATGTTTCATGGACGACCGCGTCTCCAAAGTAAACGCGTTAAAATTGAAAAATCTCTCTCGTCGTTGTGTTCAATGCCCCCTCAATGTTGGCGCGCGCTCCTCTCCCTCCACCCCCGGCGTGTTCGCGAGAACACGGAGATTCAATTGCGTTCAAACGGTCACATTCTTCACAAACACCAAATTTAATTGTACTGGCGTGCGTGGCGCGTTACGCAATCGGAGTGTTTGCAGGAGTGCGGCACGGTCGTCCAGCGGCCATCTAGGCAGAGGGAAAAATCATTTGCAGCGACGGTAATGGGGCTCAGATGAACAAAGATTCATCCCCAGAGAAGGCGGAGGTTCAGAGCTTCCCTCCGTGCGGGTCAAGACGCACGCGAGCATCTCTACGTTCACGAGGTCACTGAAAGCCTCGAGCGGCTTCATTCGCTCAACGTGCATCTCGGTGTGGACGGTGGTGAAGGCTCAACACTCGTGACCACCAACACCGACGCGCCACGACTCGACCACCTCCTGGTGATCATGCAAAGTCGATGCCAACGTTTGGTGTCAACGTCGAGGTCAACGTTTGCGCAACATCCACTAACGCTGCCCCAACGTTTGCATGTTTACTGGGCGAGCGAAACCACGCGTCCACCAAAAAACTCCCAAGCACACCGCCCAGCCTCACTCCTACGACTACTGCTACTCCCGTAACACAGGTTGTGGTTATGGTATCGTTTGCCAATGACTTTATCCGCGGGAAGAAAAACACTCCACCACTACTCTCCACGCACACTCTCAACTCGTACGTGAACGCTTAAGCTAGAAACACCAGCCAGCCGCCAGCCATTGCTGCAATCCGTGGCTTTAATCCCAAAGACAAATACAAAGATTCCCTCAACAGACTGTAGGGGCAAGTGCTGTTAGCGAGCACCTATGAAGGCCGGCACGGCACACGAGGAGTGTGGGTGGCCAGCACCACGCCCGGCCGCCTTTGTCTCCCCAGTGGCGATGTTTACACACCGCCACCAGGTACTCATTTGAGGCCGAGTCGACCTAGGGGAGGCCCAGGACCGGTTCAGATCATCGTCACCGGTGTTGGCCGTGAGCGGGAATCGAACCCGGGTCGCCGGGTTCGCGGTGCAATACGCTAACCACTCCCAACGGCACACACACACTCGCACCACACTCACACACACACACTCGTAGGTAAATTGAGATCAGTAAAAAAAAACTCAAACACTCTTTGGCCTGCACGCAAACCGTGTTCGCAATTATTGCCAACGTCCGAAAGCGCGCACCAAGTACGGCAGCGGCAATCTCCTTCTCGGGCACTCGTCATGAGGCCGCACCGCGCAGCGACTTCGCCAAGAGGCCGGGCGGGGGGGGAGAGACGCAGACCCCCGGCCTCTACCCGGGTTGGCAGCACAGACCCCTGCCGGAGCTTCACGCAACCACGGGCAGCAGTGGAGCTGCAGGGAGAAGAACGGCGACTCCGCACCAAGCCGGGCCGGGCCTGCCAGGCTCGCGCACGGACTGACAGTCACCGCCCTTCACTCCCGCCGCTCACTCACTTAGCACCCACCGCACACTCGCACCACACTCACACACAAGCACCACACACACACCACACCACACACACCACACACACACTCGCACCACACACACACAAGCACAAGCACCACACTCACACACAAACATCACACACACCACACACACTCACAAGCACCACATACACGCCACCACGCTCACTCACTTAGCACCCACCGCACACTCGCAACACACTCACACACAAGCACCACACCCACTCGCACCACACACACACACAAACATCACACACAAACACCACACACACACTAGCTCTATACACACACATGCACCACACACACACTCGCACCACACACACACACTCACACCACACACACACACTAGCTCTATACACACACACTCGCACCACACACACACTAGCTCTATACACACACACGAGCGCCTGACGCCAAACCTTGCAGACTCCTCACGCCAACATCCTTAAATTCCCGTCAAGTGCACAAAGACAACAACGATGTTCTTCTGCACAGCCTCACAGGCCGTTAGGCAAAGTGCTACTGGCGAGCGCCTATTAAGGCCAGTGCGGATCACAAGGAGGTGTGGACAGCACAGCGCTGGGCCATCTCTCCCTCTCTCTCTGTGCAGTGCTGATGTTTACGATGTGTGGCACAGCGCACCAGGAACTTTACTCGTTCAAGGCTGTCCATACGATGAGAGGCCCAGGACAGGTTCTGATATCACTCACACACTGACTTCATCTGTGACCCAGAATTGAACCCAGGTTGCCGGGTGGTTCATAGCGCTCGGCACGGGAAACCCCTTCGCCGCCACGACGCGTACGCACCCGTACGGATCGTGTCTGACCCGAATTTTAGAAGAAATCATTTGGGCGACGCTGCTGCTGCTGCAGCCTTGACAGTGGTGCACAATTAACTCAACAAATCCCTCACTAACGTTAAGGCCTTAAAAGTAAACAAATAAAAACAGGTCACATGTTTTGGGCAATGACCGTAGCACACAGACGGGAGACGCCGGAGAGAGACGGAGTGGACAACCCGTGAACAGTTAAACTCGTACAGCGGCTGAGCTGCAGACAAAATCTCTCAGTAATCTTAAATCTTTCCTTTTAAATACATTCGCGTAAAATGTTGTTGACACAATGCAATGCGCTCGACGTTAACCACTCGGCTACCATCCACGGCTGTCACTCGTGGCTTTGAAGCTGGGCCCACGCTCGAGCAAATGTCGAAAGATATTAAAAACGGAGAGACTTGGGGGTTTGGTTTTACAAGATCATCCCCTCGTATAAAATAAGATGGGGAAAAAAAAGAAACGCAATGGGTGGTGATTTCTCTGTCGACTGGAGCGGTCTTCACAAACGAACGTCCTTGCTATACATTTTTGTGAGTTTGCACAGCTGCAATGAGTTGCAAGCCACTCCAATCTCCTGTGACGTTACCCGAAACTCACAGTTGCAATGAGTTGCAAGCTGCATGCGTCTCGAATCAGTCCAACGCAAATGCTCAATTTTCAAGTCAGGCCCAGTGCGACCGGTTGACTGAGGACCGCGCACTGAGCCATCACTGCGATGAACCCTTAAATCCGGGGTCTTTTTAAACATTTGTGATGAAACCAGGAAAGGGCTCGGCCTGGTCGCCAATGACGCCGACAGAAGACATCAACATCCCCGGCCTCCCTCCCTCCCTCTTTCCCCACTCCTCGAGTGTTTATTTTAAGAAAAGTTCAGCCAACCCAGTAAAAATCTCCAAAATTAGCTCTGTAAATAATGACGCCGCATGACCTGTAGCGACGCCCGCCAGGCAGTCTGTTTATTGTTGGAATGTACCACGCATCGGAAATCTTAAAAGAGAGCTTTTCCTTTTTAAATGACATGCACACTGGCAGTGTTTCACGCAAGTTGCAAAAAAACGATCCAACGCTGAGAATTTTAAACAAACCGACGGTTCAACTCGCGGCAAAACAGACCGTCGCTTCTGCAAGGCGCGCGGCAAAAGCCGGCGCAGGCCCCGCCGACGACGCAATGGCAAACGAGAGAGCCGCGCAAAAAAGCCGCTCGCAGCACCGCGCCGTTCCTGAAGAAGCTCCCAGCAAGCAGGAGCGAAACATCGGGACGTCGTTCGCGAAAAACACGCGGCGTCGGCGGCGTCACAACCAGGGAGCTCCCCCGTCGCGCTTCGTTTCTGGCGGACCGATCGATGCGGCCCTCGATCATGGACGGCCCCAGCAGAAGGGGTGGTGGGAAGAGGTGCGGAGGGGGGGGGCGGCACAAGGGGGTCAACCGCGGCATCACTCACCGACACCTCGAACGTCTTCTCGGAGTCGTCGAGGAAGACCACCTTGAGGGGCAGGAGTTTGCCGCGAGGCTTCGCCGTCGTCGCACGCGGGCTCGGGGTCGCCCTCGCCGGCTCGCTGCCCGCGCCGTCTGCCCCGGGGGCCCCGTCCCGAACGTCGCCCATGGCCTCGCGCCGGGCGTCCCGCAAGCGGTCACGGCGCCGCACGCCGGCGCCGCCGCCGGCACCGCCCCCACCCGACCGCTGCTTCGCCTGCACGGGAGGGGGAGGGGGGAGGCGGCATAAACGTCGTGCTCGTCGAGTAGCCCTCTCAGCTGTGCACTCTTCGGAAGCGCGTGGTGTCGGTCCGAGGGTCGGGTTGGTCTGTCCGATGGATTGGTCAGAGGGACGGTCCCAACGGTCGGTCGGTCGGTCGGAAGGTCCGTTGTTTTGTCCAATGGTTGGTCGCTTGGCCCGAGGGTCAGTCGGACAGTCGGTCAGTTAGCGCGAGGGGTTGTCGGAGGGTCGGTCCGAGAGTTGGTCGGTCTGTCACCCCGACACTCGTCTAGACGTGCGAATGGACCCAGCCACGTACGAAGGGACACTTGTTGCAAGCAGCTGTTTGGAAACCGCTTGTTTAAAACACACGCGTGACCACATGACCTCTGACGTCTGGGCGCTCCCCGCCTTAACCAACCGGCGCTAACCGGCATGGCGAAATACGTTCAACGAACCCCGTCGCCCTCACGAGACCGGGATGGAGTGGGGGACACCCTCATCCAGCGACGGAGTGGACAAGAGGGCCGCGCTCGGCAGAAGACGAGCTCCACCGATCCTCACGGGGTCGCGCTCCTCACAGAGTTGCGCGACCGCCTCTCGTGGCACGGGAGGGCCGGGTCAGTGGCGAACGCGGAGCGGGTCGCAACTTTGAGACAGAGCTGCTTGCCAGGCCGGCTCACACCAAACGTACAGTTCGCGAACGCCACACGGAGAAGGTGGTTGGGGGGGGGAATTGAGAAATAAACAACGACGCAGGACTGGTGTCACGTCTCGATTGATGTCCGCCGGGCGCAGGCCCGAAACGTCTGCGACAACGCGCGCGTGATTTGACCGTCGAACTATAACGAGAACAGCAAAGTCGAATTACCACTCGTGTCTTTTAAGAAACCTTCTCATGTAGCACTTCGGTTGTAATGGTCAGCAGCGCACTGGGCTCACAGTGCAGAGCTCGTCCGTTCAATCTCCCCGGTGTGGCAGTTCAAACGAGTTCCCAAATCTCCTCCGCCTCTCTGATCACCCAGCAGCAATACCACACTCGATTGGCGGATCACAACGTGGTGCGGTAAAGTGTGCGGCACTCCCGGCTCTTCCAAGACTTCTGGTCAGATTCGTTTCGTTTTTTAAACCTTCTCGAGCGGCTTCTCTAGAGCTCCATGTAGTGGATGCCCTTCCATCAGCAGTGGTGCAAGCAAGCGATTGCAGGATCTGCGCCTTTACCTTTCCGAAGCATTGATGAACTCCAGCATCGTTGGGCAAAAATTCCAATAATTAATAAATATAAATAACGATATTTTCCCGCCTCTTGTTAATCCGCTACTGGGGTTATTTGACCATACTTCACCACGCCGGTCAATGCGAGATGGTGAAAAGAAAACAGGTCGTGGACACCGACCGGTTCTTAAGTCGCTCGGCACGGACGATGTTACCAATGGCCGGGATACGTCTCTGGGTTCATAGCAGGGTGTGGTAACCACTGTGCTACCACGCATTTAGAACACGGCATTGAAATACTCGCATGGCAGGTGATACATAGAAGTAATGTCAGCCTCTTGATGTTTTTCCTCTTCTTCTTCTGAAATTACTCCTGTTACTCCATGTGTTCAATACTGTGACAGGCCCTATTATACAAAGATCCCTTTATAACCTACTTAGACTGTTGGGGCTGTTCGTGAGCACCTCTGAAGGCCATCACTGCACCCAACAGCATGGGTGTTCAGCACCACTCCTGGCCGCCTTTGTCTCCCCAGTACTGATATTTACACCCCCTGCCAGGTCCTCATTTTAAGGCTGAGTCGGCCTAGGGGAAGGCCAGATATCCATCGCTGATATTGGAACTCGGGTCGGCGGGTTCGTAGCAAAGTGCACGAACCACAACACTGGGGCCGTCCATAAATGACGTCACGCACCTAGGGGGATGAGGGGGGTCACAAATTTGTGACGATCTGTGACGAGGGGGGGGTTGAGAAATGTGACGTCACATCAAAATGCGCAACTTTAAATAGACAACACGTTCTACTTAATTAAATAGACTTTTTAATACATGTTTTCTCCTACAACATCAGAGTGCAGCGCCACATTAAATACGCACTACAATGACAATAGTTTACAGCCATTTGAAGCATTTTTAATTTTCAAAATAGAAATATGGTTTTTGGGGGGGGGGGCAGAGCTTTGTGACGTCATATTTGAGGGGGGGATCTGACTTTTTGTGACGCCGTGTGACGAGCGGGGGGGGGTCAAAAATCGTCCAAAATCGCGTGACGTCATTTATGGACGGCCCCACTGTCACTCCCCACAAACCCCCCCCCCCCCCCCCCCCCCCCCACATCGGCTTAACGGACTGTTGGGGAAAGTGCTGTTAGTGAGCAGCACTTATGAAGGCCGGGGCAGCACACATGGGAGTGGGTGGCCCTCACCACGCCCGACCACCTTTGTCTCCCTCGTGGCAATCTTCACACGCCACACCAGGTACTCATTTGAGGCTGTCGACCTTGTGGAGTTCCAGGAGCGGTTCGGATAATTGTCACCGGTGTTGGGCCCGTGAGCGGGAATCGAACTCGGGTGAGCGGCCGGTGCGTAGCGCAGCGCACTCACCACGACAGCGGCGCTCCCCGCTCAACGTACAGTCTCGCGAACTACACACGTGCCGGCTGTACGCGCGCACTCGCACACGCGTGAAAGAGAGAGAGGTGGTGTTGTTGTGCTGTTGGACATCTCAAGTGTCCGCGCAGCCAGCTGGGAGAACGGGTCGAACGAGTCGCGTCGCTGCATATATCCCCCCGCGGTCTACCCGCTGAGCCACCTTTGCGAAGGGCGAATCGAAGCGAGCTAATCCGCCAAGCACACAGGGCATCAGAAACAATGAGCGGAGGGGTCAAAGATCTGGACGAATGCCACATCGTTAGTATCGCATGACCCCCGTGAGAGCGAGTAGAGTTGACGCAGTGACTCGCCATGAATTGTCACTTCACAATGCCGACTCTCTGTCCCCTCTCTCTCTTCGGCCAGACAGAAGCCCCCCCCCCCCCCCCCCATTCGCTGAAAAGTAAAATCTCATGCAAGTCGAAACCCGACACGTGCGAGAGGGGGCAACGCCATATTCCCGAACAGAAGGGACAGATGAGATTAGTCTGCACTTTGCTGTACAGCCTTCTCCTGGCGAGCCAGGGTATGGCAACCTCCTCTACACCCACGACAAGGAATTGTCCCTACATTTTCTTGGTTCTTTCGGGAAAGTCACGTAGAATGGAAATAATAAAATAATGAAATAAAACATAATAAGATCATTCTCACGACGTTTCGGCCACAACGCAAGCAGCCGTCCTCAGGTGGAGACCAGGTCTGTCGGGGAGACAGCGTCTGAGGACGGCCGAAACGCCGTGAGAATTATCTTATGTTTTATTTTATTATTTTATTATTTCCATTCTACGTGACTTTACCGAAAGAACCAAGAAGATGAATCCCTGCAGTCACGAAAGCTTTAAATCGAAATCTGTCCCTACATTGCTGCAATCCACAAACCCTCGCTGCCTCCACGGTGGCTGTATTTACAGGCACGCATAGCCACCACCACCGCCCGCCTAAGTGGCGTTTGCGTGTGGCCTTCGTGGTGAATATAGGTGTGGTATGTGTGATATGCGACAGGCATAGCATGGGCCTCATGTTGTACAGGTGTGTGGGATGTGATGTACACGGTGCATCACACACCACGGGGAGCGAGAGTGTAGCGGTTAGCGTGGTGCGCTACGAACCCGGCGACCAAAACTCGATTCCCGCTCACGGCCAACACCATTAACGATTATCTGAACCGGTCCTCGGCCTCCTCTAGTTCGACTCAACCTCAAATTCGTATAGTACCTGGTATAAACATCACCACTGGTGAGACAAAGATGGCCGGGCGAGGTGTTGGCGACCCACCCCCTCGTGTGCCGTGCCGGCCTTGGTAGGTGCTCACTAACAGCACTTACCCCAACAGTCTGTTACAGGCTATACGGGGGAGTTTGTCTTTGAAGTACACGGTGAATACCTATGTGGTATGTATGTGTGCAAGTACAGCCCTATTGTCAATCCACTGCTGGATGAGGGCCCTCTGCACATTGCGTGGGTCGCAGGAGCTGTCTGAGCATACTTCGCCACGCTGGTCAGGGTGGCTGGGTGAAAGCGGGGGAGGATACATCACTGGGGTTCATAGAAGTGCAGCACAACAGTTCATTGTGCGGCACTGCTGCCAACCCCGTTGGCTCCACGTGTATATGTCTGGTAAACTATCCATGTGCCTTCTGTGTATGGGCACAATGCGATGGGGCCCTATTACAGGACTCCCGGCTTGTATGATCCGTAGCAGCTGTAGGGTCTGCAAAAACTCCCTTTACCGGCAGCCCCACCAATTCGTCCTTCGTTACCCGCGGTTATCCTCCATTGTATCCATTGCGCGAAGTGAAGCGGCTTCCGAATACGATTGTTCGCGAATAAAGTTGAGTCGCCGCGTGGCGAATTACTCCAATTGTCCGCGATTTCTTTTCATCCGCGGATACGAGGAGTAAAATCGCAGACACCCCCCGATAAATAAAATATCATTACAGTAAACCCAAGTGCTGTACACTCCTGTGATTAATTAATTAATATGTGCACAGGATACAGCAACGCACACAGGATGACGACTCGAGGCTTTGCTTGGACGATAATAGGTAAAGGAGCAGCCCCGCAATTGCTCGCTCGCGCCACCGCTGGCGGAAGGCGCCCCCCACTAGAGGGAGCTCCGGGGAGACCCTCCCCAGAGGGTGTTCTTTGGCCTACTCTTCCACGATGGTCAGAAAAGGTCGGAAACGTCCACGGCTTTAGCCCACCACGTATTCCACCCGCCTATCGGCTGATTGTGATGCGCACCTATTTCCACGGCTGGGTGGATGTGTGCAAGGGCAGGGAGATTTTAAGCAACCTGCCCATTGCTTCAACTGCCACGCCGGGAAATCGAAACCGCCGACCTCTGGATTGCAAGCCCCGGTGGTGCTTATCATCACACCCACTGCGAACATCCTTCGGCGCTAGAATGGTAGCATCTCTTTAATAATCAGGGGCAGGCTTGACCTACATTCATCTCATGAATGCGCGTTCTGTGTGTGACAACCTCGCACAGCAGAGCGTGTTGTTGTCTGTGCCGTGGTCCGCCTCCATACGTGCTCGCTAACAGCCCTTGCCCGACATTCTGTCAAGGCTACTTTGTACGGTGGTGGTGGTGGGGGTTGTTCTTTGTATCATATTGAAAGTGCTACGTAAGTTGTTGTGTAGTGGCCTGGTGATTTTGCGCTTTGAACCCGGCGACGTGGGTTCAATTCCCGGTCACGGCTAACGGCAGTGGCATTGCGATATCTGAACCGGTGGCGGGGCCTCCCCTACGTAGACTCGGCCTTAAATGAACACCTGACTGCGGTGTGCAAAACATTAGCGCTGTGCCAGCAGCCCTTCTAAGGTGTTCGCGAACAGCATTTGCTCCAACTCTCTGTGCGGGAAGACAAACGGTGGGTGATATTTGTCTTCGAAATATGGCATTGTGCCTAAACCCTCTAGCACTCTTCATATTCACACTCACACACAGGGGGTGATGTATGTCCTGCACTTGAGAGACAGGCCACGCTTGCAATCCTTCCTTTGTTGATGATGTGAGCACACCAAGTTGACACCCAGTGATCTCACGTCCCAAATGGGGTCAAGGCAGACCAGGTGGAGATGAAGAGATGAAGCGACACGTGTTCAGTGAATACAAAGATCCCTCCTGGAGCCTTAACAGACTGCTGGGGCAAGTGCTGTTAAGCGAACACCTATGAAGGCCGGCATGGCGCTCGAGAGGTCAATACCACGCCCGGCCGCCTTTGTCTCCCTAGTGGCGATGTTTACACACGGCACCAGGTACTCGTTTGAAACTAAACTAGAAACTCGACCGGTCCTGGCAGGCCCAGGACGGGTTCAGATAATCGTCGAGCTTACCGCTGCTCCACCGCTCCCCAACACACACACCACTACCACACACACACCATACACACACACCATACACACCACTACCATACACACACACCATATACACACACCATGCACAAACACCATACACACACTCACCACTACCACACACCACTACCACACACACACACCACTACCACATACACACACACCACTACCACATACACACCACACCACTACCACGTACACACCACACACACACCACTACCACACACACACACACCATACACACACCATACACACACACTACTACCACACACACACCATACACATAATACACACACCACTACCACACACACCATACACACACACACCATACACACACCACTACCATACACACCACTACCATACACACCACTACCACACACACACCATACACACATACCACTACCATACACACACACACCATATACACACACACCATACACACACACACATACCATACACACCATACACACACCACTACCATACACACACCACACACACACACCACTACCACACACACACACCACTACCACACACACACACATACCATACACACACCACTACCATACACACACACACCATACACACACACGCCACTACCATACACACACCACACACACCACACACACACCCAACTACCATACACACACACTCCACTACCATACCCACACACACCACTACCATACCCACACACACCACTACCATACCCACACACACCACTACCATACACACACAACAGCATACACCACTACCATACACACACCACTGCCATACCACCACCATACACACACCACACACACCACTAACACACAAACAGCAATATTGTTTAAATGGCTTAATTAGATCCCATTGGTGTCAGCTGGAGTGGCGTGAACACGCACACACCAACCATTATGTCCACAGATACCGAGATACAAAGATCCCCCGTATAGCCTGCTCAGATTATTGGGGCAAGTGCTGTGAGCGGCGCACCTCCGAAGACCGAAAAACGGCACGGGGTGGGCCAGCGCCCCCGCCCGACCGCCTTTGTATCCCCCAGTTACGACATTTACACATCGCACAAGGGAAATCATTTTAACACACACGCAATTAAATGAATGCACATTTGTACTTAACATGCAAAGCATTCGATAACCATCAATCTATGCATACAATCGATAGCGAGCTTGAATCATACCGATTCTACCGGGGCGTGCACACACACACACAAACACGAATACGCACACACGCATAAAACGCATACTAGGTACACATAACAACTGCATATGTGCACACACATCCACACACGTGCGCGCACACACACACATACACACTAAAATTGTGTATGAACGCATTACCCGTACAGAGATTTCATCCAACAGGGGAGTTGGCAAATGGCTGTAAATTATGATGGCTATGTAAAGATGCCGGACTGTTTGGGCAAACAAAAGACCAAAAAAAACTCCCCCGGTATTCACCGTAACAGACTGTCGGGTCCGCCTTTGTCTCCCTAGAGGCGATGTTTACACACCCTGCACCGTAGAGGTTCCAAATAAATCCGACGAAACCCCGCATCCTAGAGCATGCTTAGGATCACCGTCAGCTTCACAGAATGTGACAGGTGATGGTGGTAGACGTTACAGAAATGAGTCGAACTCAGGTTAGTAGAGAGATCGTAGTACATTGTGCGCGTGCCACCACCAGCAGCAATGGGCAGGACTCGTACGCACAACACGTGCGTGATCGACACTTTGTGTGCTGGTAACAGCCGCTTTGCCCATTTGTATTGGACCATACTTCACCACGCTGGTCAATGCGAGTTGGGCGACATGAGAGGGACATAGATGTATAGTACAACAACAGAAATGTTTTATCAACCACCGCATCCTATAGCAGCGACCTGTTGTTGCATCGTGGCCATCCATCCAAAGAAATGTCCAGGCTGACGCCTCATTCGATATGTGATGAGGCCAAGTCATCCGGAATACCTGATACACACTCCGTCTAACGCTGTTGCACATCGCAGAGGGACAGACATTCAAATGGAGACAGAGAGACAGGCTGAGAAACACAGAGAGAGAGACGACGGCTATGATGGCGATACAACGCCGGTTGCATGGACACCTTCCAACATTCAGAGAGAGACAAAGGCATGTGTAGAAGCTGACGTATAGCGAGAGACATGGGTTGAGAACGCATTCTGCTACAGATGTAACCAAGATGGAGAGAGACACGTGTGGAGGGGGGACAGAGGTGATGCGCCAGGGTGCGCAGAGGCAACGGCGATTGTTCGGACAGGGCGAGACAGCGACTGTGAGATAGAGACACAGTCAGATATACACACACACAGATACACACAGAGAGAGACACACAGAGAGAGACACACAGAGAGACACAGTCAGATGTACACACACAGAGAGAGACAGTCAGATGTACACACACAGAGAGACACACAGAGAGACAGTCAGATGTACACACACACAGAGACACAGTCAGATGTACACACACACAGACACGACACAGAGACACACACACAGAGAGACACAGTCAGATGTACACACACACACAGTCAGATGTACACACACACAGACACACACAGAGAGACACAGAGAGACACACACACAGAAACACACACAGAGAGACACACACAGAGAGACACACACAGAGAGACACAGTCAGATGTACACACACAGAGAGACACACACAGAGAGAGACACACAGAGAGACACAGTCAGATGTACACACACACAGAGGGGCGGACGGGAGTGGGATTAACGCAGCGATGCGGAGACACAAACTCGGCGAGACGAACACACCACCACAGAGACACGGAAATGGAGACACGGAAGGGCAGATGCAGGCACACGGAGACACACACACGGAGACACAGCACACAGACACAGCGACAGAGAGAGACAGACAGAGAGAGACAGACAGACAGCGGTCGCGAAAGGCTGAGACAGAAGCACAGAGGCAGACACCGTGAGACAGAGACACCGAGGCGGAGAGAGACACCGTCACACGGACACACACGCAGGGCTGCAATCTACACACGCGCGCGAGACATCGAGACACGACGTACGCAGAGACACCGACGTGGGGAGACGGAGACACGCGGAGACGGGGCCGAGCGAGTCCCGCCATCATCACCTGCACGGAAGCGCAGTGCTCGCCTCTCCTTCTGCCTCTCGCCTCTGTCCGCCTGTCTCCGTCGTTGTCCTGTCTCCTTGCGTCTCCGTGGGTCTATCTCCTCGTGTCTCCTCGGGTCTCCGTGGGTCTATCTCCTCGTGTCTCCTCCTGTCCCCCCACCCCCCCAAACGGTGTCTTGCCGCTGTGGTCGCAGGAGCGACGGTGCCTGCGCCGAGAGCGTCTGAGAGTGGCTACGCGCAGCAGCGTAGACCCCACGCGGAGCGAAACATTCCTCCAGCGCAGCGCGACACACACCCTCTACACACTAGCCCCCCCCTACATACATACACACAGACTACACACACACACCCTCTACACACTAGCCCCCCCTACCTACATACACACAGACTACACACACCCTCTACACACTATCCCTCCCTCCCTACATACACACAGACTACACACACACACCCTCTACACACTAGCCCCCCCTACATACATACACACAGACTACACACACACTCCCTCTACACACTAGCCCCCCCTACCTACATACAGACTACACACACCCTCTACACACTAGCCTCCCCTACATACATACATACACACAGACTACACACACACAGCCTCTACACACTAGCCCCCCCTGCATACACACAAACTACACACACACCCTCTACACACTAGCCCCCCCTACATACACACAAACTACACACACACCCTCTACACACTAGCTCTCCCTACATACATACACACAGACTACACACACCCTCTACACACTCGCCCTCCCTACATACACACAGACTACACACACACCCTCTACACACTAGCCCCCCCTACATACACACAGCCGACACACACACCCTCTACACACTAGCCCTCCCTCCCTACATACACACAGACTACACACACACACCCTCTCTACATACACACAGACTACACACACCCCCTCTACACACTAGCCCTCCCTACATACACACAGACTACACACACACCCTCTACACACTAGCCCCCCCTACATACACACAGCCGACACACACACCCTCTACACACTAGCCCTCCCTCCCTACATACACACAGACTACACACACACACCCTCTCTACATACACACAGACTACACACACACCCTCTACACACTAGCCCTCCCTACATACACACAGACTACACACACACCCTCTACACACTAGCCCTCCCTACATACACACAGACTACACACACACCCTCTACACACTAGCCCCCCCTACATACACACAGACTACACACACACACCCTCTACACACTAGCCCTCCCTACATACACACAGACTACACACACACACCCTCTACACACTAGCCCTCCCTACATACACACAGACTACACACACCCTCTACACACTAGCCCTCCCTACATACACACAGACTACACACACACCCTCTACACACGAGCCCTCCCTACATACACACAGACTACACACACACACCCCTATACACTCGCCCTCCCTACATACGCCTAGCCTACACACACACCCTGTACACACTAGCCCTCCCTACATACACACACACCCTCTACACATACAGTACACATTAGCCCTACCGCTACACACACACACCTATCACCTTAATGTCAAGCACACAACTGCAGCGTTAACTCTTAACTCCACACACAAAGATCCCCATATAGCCCCTTTAACAGACGGTGCTAATAGCGAACACCTATGAAGGTCGGCACGGTTCACCATGGGTTGGGTGGACGACACCACGCCCGGTACTGGAGTTTAGACGACGAACCGGCTGACCCAATTACGGCTGAGTCTACCTCGGGGAGGCACAGTTCCATTTCAAACATTCGGCACCGGTCGTGAGAGTGACTCGAACTCAGGGTCACCGTAGCGCTAACCACTGCGCCACCGCTCCTCACACCTCTTTACACACACCCACTACCCATAGAACCCTACATACACACCCCTATATCCACACACACCTCTATAATACCAACGCTTCCATATTGCAGTGTTCTTGCATGACACAATTCTACAACCTACACACACACACCCTACTCAATATAACTACGGTGTCTTTGTATTGTGTCTTACATGACACAATTCTACAACCTACACACACACTTCACATGTAGTAGCTACACATGCAGTAGTTACACATGTAATAGCTACGGGCCCCGCACTTTCAAGGGCCCCGCGCTAAATGCTTTCAAGCTATCGATTCCGGTTAAGTGATTCTGCACTTGCTCTATTACTATAGTATACCGCCTTCAACTTTTACGAACGACCGGGTGTTTCAGGTTAGCGATTTGTCGTATTATCTGGCTGTATAGCAAATTAAAAAATACAATTACTTTCTATGCTAGTTAAATTTATTTAATTTAGGACCCCTGTATAACATATGCGACGAGCTTAATCCGGCACTGAACCCTACACACACGCTCTCCACACTAGCCCACCCTACATACACACACAGCCTACACACACACACACACCCTCTCCACACTAGTCCTCCCCTCTGCTGGTCGACACATCGACTCACCATTTACACTCACACACAATTCATCTCTAATCCATCAGCCCTCCCATCTGCAGTCGAGACACGCCACGGCCCGCGTGCCACTGGCATATTGACACACACGCGCGCGCGCGCACGCACCACCAAAGCCGAACCAGCGGGCTTCAACTCGTGGCTTCGGCATGGACCCTGTGCAGGATTAAACATTTGGAATGTGCTCGGGGGGAACGACGAAGCACACACAGGGTAATTGCTCTTGAATGGCGAGGTGGGGGGGGGCGTCAGTCCAACACCGTTACGCAACAACCGAGAATCCCACACGCACAGAGTCGAAACAGATTGTAGGGGAAAGTGCTGTTAACGAGTAGCGCCTACGAAGGCCGGAACGGCACGCAACCACGCCCGGCCGCCTTTGTCTCCCCAGTGACGATGTTTACTACACAGCCTTCATAGTTGCTAGGCACACACTACAGTACACAAAGACAAAGATCCCCGTGTAGCTTTGACAGACTGTTTGGGTAAGTGCTGTTAGCGAGCACCTATGAAGGCCGGCATTGCACACGAGGGGGTGGGTGGCCAGCACCAGGCCACAGTATAAACACAAACACACACTCAGAGACAACACGTCCCCTATCTGCAGTCTACACACACCCCTCCCCCTGGAATGGGTGACAACCACTCAGGTACACACACACACACTCCGTGTGACACACACACACACTCACTCCCCGTGTGTCACACACACTCCCCGTGTGACACACACGCACACACCCCGTGTGCCACACACACGCACACACCCCGTGTGACACACACACACACTCCCCGTGTGACACACACACACTCCCCCGTGTGACACACACACACTCCCCGTGTGCCACACACACACTCCCCCGTGTGACACACACATACACTCCCCGTGTCCCTCCACACTCTCCCTGTGCCTCTCCCCACTCGTTGCTAGTCACCCTCGCCCCTCCTCCCTTTGAGCTCACGCTACTAACCCTACACCGCAATGACAAAGATCCTCCGTGTAGCCTACGCAGGCTGGAGGGGCAAGTGATGTTGGCGAGCAACATCATAACCAGGTGGCAGACATCGCGGCGCCAGAAATCGAGTTGGTGTGGCGAGCACCACCCCCGGCCACCTTTGCCTCCCCAGAGGCGATTATTCAAATACCGCAACAGGTACTCAAATAAGGCCGGGAATCGAACTCATGGTGCCGGGTTCGCCAGCACAACCGCGAAATAACCACTAGGCCATCGCTCCCCCACACATTCGTCATCAATAACGCTGTAACGTTTCGGGATAGGGCCCTTTCCAGCAAAGAAACTCGCATATCCGCACTGCTGCTGCTGTACGCCCTCAGCCCCTCCTCCCCCCCCTTCACCCCGAACCCTGCCCACCCACCACCGCTTCCATTGTAAACACAACCCTCGACTTCGGCTATATATACATACACACACACTTTAGAACCCCTGCACGCTTATGCATCAGATGTGCTATGTATAGCATCGCGTGTATTAAACATGGCCCATAGAAACCTTGGCACCGTACCTATGAACATTGCGAGGTCCTGAGCCAAAGGGAATCGAGCCGAGGCGCCGAGGGATACGGGAGGCAGAAATCCCCACTCCAATGAAAACCAAGAGGCGCCTTGCTCATTAGACATCAGCTCATTCCTCTGCCCTCACCTGCCTTCACAGACGAGCTTTACATCTCCCACCAGTATCGCTTCTCCCTGCTTCTCCCCTCTCTACAAGTCTCTCTCCTCTCCCTCCATAGACCTCCACGATTCAGCCCCACTCCTCCCAGCATCTCCCTCCATCTCTCTATCACCTCCCTGCCCCTCAACCACTCTTAAATCTATATCCCTCTGCCCTCATCTTTCACCTCCATCGCGTGTCCACTGCCCTGTCTTCACCTTCCCGCATCTCCCTTCCGTCCTCTGTCTGGACCAAAACTTTGGATGCCAGGAAGTTCACTGTTTTACTACGGTTTCGAACAATTCTATTCTAGGACGTAAAAAAAAAACTACGTGAATTTTTTTTTCATTCAAATTTAACGCAAAAAATGTCTGCTCAAGAGCGGGATGCAAATGTAATAATGTTCCTTGATATTAGGCCGATCAAAGTCAATGCATTCAGGATCCCGTAAATTAATTTTATGTTAAAATAAGCGACATTTGACGGATTCCATCCCATCACATTTACAATCAGGAGGCTACTATAAAATCCACTATTCACGTGTTTCACATCCAATGTAACAACTGAGAAATATCACACACCGTTACGAAGAATCATGAGTTTCTCTCAGCTAGTTTTTCTTCGAAAGGACATTAATTTTATCCACGTTATCAATATTCCAAACCAACGTTTATTCAAATAAATGGCACTCATTGAGAATTGTCAACTTAGTAGTGTACGCATCTTGTGTGACAGCAGGAATCTGTGCCGCCCAATGACTCTTGTAAAACCACGGATCTCTGTGAACCCTAAAACCTCCCGCGGGTTACACAAATAAATCCACTTCCCGGTCTCACCCATGTCCTACCTTCACCTTCCTGCCGTTCCCCTGCCAAAATCTCCCTGCCTCTCCCCCTTCCCTCTCTGCTTCTTGCATCTCCCACCCCTCCTGCCCCTCCACCCCACCTCCACCCCTTCCCCCCCATCCTTCCCCTCACCCGGTGACCCCTGGGGGGAGTCCAGCCATCCGATTGGCCTGAAGTTTGCCTTTCATTGGGCCTTGCTTGAGAGCACTTTTTTATTCTTTCCTGTTGCCTCGCGGTCGGTCAGTAAGTGGGTA